TCGAATTCGAGATATAGGCCTCCAAAGTTCGGAACGTTTTTTTTGGGCCACCCGGTAATTATAACTATATGAATGCATTGAAAACTAAGTAAGCTGGGCTATTGGCCTCGTTTCATAAAGCGAGTCCGTAACTGACGCCGGTTTTTTGGGCTTGTATTGCAAGCGCATGTAAAACGATAAATTTATTTCCGCATCTCCCTTCTGTTCTTGCTTGCAAGATAAGTAAATTCAACGATTCAAACTAGGCATCGTCATCGCTGCGGTTTGGATAACAAAAACCATCGTCTACTTCCTGAGATATTGAGGATTTTCAACAGATTTGTTGAAGTGTCAAATTTTTTCCGAGCACCCTGTAGGTCAAGGCGTGGAGGTTATTGGAAGTTCCAATTTACCTTTTTTACGAAAACGCATTTTGAAAAGAAATGCCCGTATTTCTGCGAAATACTTAACGTTTTTTAAAGCATAATGTGAAAAATCAACGTGTCATGTAATTAAAAGGCGTTTTCAATAGTTGCAGCTAATTGAATAGCTAGCCGTCTTTCCTGCGGTCTACTGCTCATTACCTGCCATGCCCCCAGTGACCCAATTTACCTGGGGCTCAAATTATATCCCCTCTCCTAGCCCCACTGACAGCGGGGTGGTAAAAACCGAGACCGGTGTTAAACTGCACGGCGCTCCATAAAGGTGTCCGGTTTTTAGGCGGGCCACATTTCGTCGGCCGGTGGCCGGTCCACCGAGCCTGGTGGCTGTTTCACAACGCCCCCCCCCCCCCCACCCCGCCCGACCGACCGGTGACGCAACAGTCGAGATCAGATCGGCTGGGTCGGGCAGGGGAGGGGGGGTGTCAGAACGGCGGCCGTGAGACCATGGGAGAGACGTGTGACCATGGGGGAGAGAAGGGTCACCCCGTGGAGCCGCGGGAGGGGCCGGCCGGCCGGGGGCAGAGCTGAGAGGTGCCCGGACCACGGACCACGGACCACAGACGGCACGGACCGTGGACCGGTGCAGGGCGGTCCGCCAGCCGAGGTGCGGCGCGTCGTGACCCGCCTGTGCAGAGCACATGATCAGGCCCCAGTGGCAGGGTGCGGCCGTGCAACACTAACTCAGCGCGGTAAATAGGCCACTGCCGACAGCCTCCCAGCGGGTGCTAAAACGGACACAGTTGCGCAATATCTGCAGACACAGGACGGGCAGAATGGATAAAATCGAAAGTGGTTTGGTGACCTTTATCATAACCAGTCTGTGCAGTTTTCTATATTTTGGGAGCATTCAAGTCGAGAACCATGCTTGGAAGATAAATGTAATGTACCCAAAGGTGGCATTTTAATCAATTTAAGACGATAATTGGCTTAACCCTCGCCCCGTTGGGGGGGGCCATTTTGGCCCCCCCCCCCCTGTGGTTTTTCTTGAATAACAAGAAAACGGCGGCGCGCAGCGCCGCCAAATTTTCAGTACCTTCCCGGGCATCAATTTGACACCTTCACACCAAATTTCAAGTCTTAGGTCACCTTAGGTCAGGAGTTATTGAGGTCAAACTGAGGTCATGTTCGAGCAAAAATGAGCAAAAAACATGCAATCTTGAAACGCTCACCAAATCTACAGTTATCAAGCAATTTCAAAGTTCTTTTTATGGTCTAGTAGACAAAAAGCGGCGCTACAAAACTGCTATCTCGGATTTTCAAAATTTTTGGTTTTTGACCAAAAAAAATTCAAAAAATTGATTTTTTTAGAAAAACTTTGGAAAAATCCAAAAATTTTCCGAATTTCGAAAAAACCGGAATATATGTGATAGTCCCAGTGCTCTTCTATATACATACCAAATTTCAGATCGATATCTCGTTTTTTGGCCAAGTTATAGCGAAAAAACTGTTCAAAAATGATGACGTCAAATTTTTGAACTCAATTTTTAGCAATTCTAGACCACGTACGGCAAAACAAAGACCACCATTGAACTCCCCGTGACGAGCTGCATCGATTCGATACCCATTTTATGCAAAAATATTAACTTTGAAATATGACCTAATTTGACCTGACCTTGACCTGACCTTGACCTGACCTTGACCAAAACGTGATCTAAGCTGGCCCCAAAGGCTGCCTGACCCATATAATCGCATTTGTCATGTAAAATGGACCATAAAACATGTATCACACGATACTTTCATATTGTGACCCCCCCGTGACCTGACCTCTGTGACCTGACCTGGTATCAGTGACCTCAAATAGCAAAATATGTGTTTGAAGAACATTTCCCCATCGATGACTTTCAATGAAATGCATTTTACTCGATTTTACAACGCATTTCTTGAAGTGCCTGTAAACGGTGAAAATTGGACCTTTGACCTGACCTGTGACGTCATCGGTTTGACCTAGGTCAATAAAATTGGGTCACAAGGTAGTTCCCCGTTGGGGCTATCCAACGCCGTTTACCGCTTGTCGCTATGTTGCGTGGTTCTCGAGATCTTAGGGGGGGCCAAAATGGCCCCCCCCCAACCGGGCGCGTTGCTCGGCAGAGCCCAACGGGGCGCGGGTTAACCCTCGCATGTGTGCGGCGTTTGCCAGCTTCTAATGTGTAGGGGGGGGGGGTCGGTTGGACCCCCCCTTGCCGTTTGGCCCCTGATCGAGCTAGAGCTTCGCGGAAAAAACGAGCGTGTTGCCCGTGACGAGAGGAAGCCGATGATACCCAATTTTAAGGTCCTAGGTCATTGGTTGACCTTCCAGGTCAGGTCAATGACCCAAAGTCGGGAAAATCGGGACCTGTTAGAAAGTCGTAAAGTGTGGCTGCTAAGGGGTTTTTCGGGGTGCTGATCACGAATATCGTGTTAGTTTTGATCACAGATGATGTCTTGAAGCATTTAGACCAGGTCGGGTCAGGTCAGGTCAGGTCAACCAGTAGGCGTCGTGACGGGTATTCGTAGTACGTGTCAACCGCCTCTGACAGCTTCGTAACATGTTACGAAGTCACCAAAACTACTTCGTAAATGTTCAAATGGTTGCTAAATTCGAATTCAGCTCCAAAAACTAGCCTAGAAACATGTAAAACTCGAAAAAGTGACCCGAGGTCACCCGAGGTCACCAAAGGTCAATGACCTGACCTGACCTTCAGGTGACCTTGACACACACGGGAGTAACATCAAATCACATGTTTGAACGTTTGAAACCACGAAAAGCTTGCAAACACGCGGCTAGTGCGAGCCGACCACTGAACTCTAATATATACTGGAAGGAGCATTGGTGACTTGTTTTTGTCTATCGATTTCCGCCATGTTGTGTATACCAGAAATATAAATTGCATGTACGGTAGCAGAGGTGCAGTTTAGTGAGAGGTACACTACTCAAAAGTGCTGCTGCTTCATGCTTGCAGTTTGATTGCAGTGATCAACTTTTCAAGACTTTGGTATACACAACATGGCGGAAATCGTTAGACATTCTGGCCCATATACGGCCAAGGCGAGTGCCTCCCCCTGGAGCCGACATACGCGAAATCGCGATTCCGGCCAAACATGGTCTCGGAAAAGAGGTCACAGGTCAAAGGTCATTTGGGTCAGGGTCATGAAATTTTCAGGGTAGGTGTAAAATTGATCAATGCGAGGGTACTGAAAGTTTCGTCGCGATCGGCCGCTTTTTACGCGAGTTATTCGCGAAAAACCATGGGGGGGTCCATCCGACCCCCCCCCCCCCTACACATGCGAGGGTTAAAATGTGTAGATGCATTGAATCAAAACTGCAAAGGAAGCATGCACTGAATTTATAGTTGATCCGTCTAGTTAGTTACTTTCAAAAGTTGAGGTACTTCTTCCAAAGTAGTTCGTAAATGAGCGTATAGTAATGCTTACAGCTACCATATATAGTCATTGGCGGAAGATATCGTGCAATTCACATTGACAAACAACACAAATGGCGAACGCTACCGAGTCAGGCACCTCAGAAAACACATTCCTGTTACCTTTCTGTCACCGAGAGCCGCAAGAGACGACCTTTGCTAGAAGGCACGCCCGTGACCTTACCTGCAATGCACATTTATCTGTGAAGACCCGACCGGGAACGGGAATCCCCGCTCACCCAATTAGATACTCATCTGGGAGGGATATACCGACGTTGCAGTGACACGACGGACCATTTACCGATGACCTAGCCTGGAAGTGACCTGATACCGGTGACCTGAGCTGGTCGTGACCCGATGCCTTTGACCTGACACGGCAGACTGGTGAACCAACTTTGTTTTGTTTTTGTTTTGTTGGGTTAGGCCCTTTCGGTCTGACAAGACCATTGCAGAGCCGGGAGGATGATAGGAATTAGGGAGAGACATTGGTCTGGGCAGACACCCTAGAGAGTCGCCGGGGCTGAGCTTGTCCGAATGGACAGGCCGACCAGCCCCCCCCCCCCCCCAAGGTACTCACTGCACCCGGCTACGGGGTGCGCTCCTTCGGAAGCAGCGGTGCCGCTCCAAGGGAGCAGCCCGCATGAGATAAAGGTGCCTGTCCAGCCCGGAGGGGATTGCGGCGTGGAGGAAAAGGATTTCAGTATCCTGAGGATAGAAGCACCGAACGGTGGTGAACCAACTCGGAAGCGGCGACTTATGTAGCTCGCAATAGAGAAAACTGCTGACCTGACCCGAAGGACGCGCCTCTCGGGATATGTGACCTGATGTGTCTACACGGGACACACTGGTGACCAGAACTGGGGTAGGGGCGGTAACAGGTGACCGGGGGTGGGGGTGGGGGTGGAGTGCCCTGACCTGACCCTGGTTACCGGTGACCTGGCTGCAGGCTGACTAGTGACCCGGGGCTCGGCCGCACGGTGCACGCGCGCCGCCCGTGCTCTGGTTACGCGGCCGGCGGGGGCGGGGCGGGGGTGGGGGCGGCGCGGTCACTTTCACGGCGGTGGCCGCCGGTCGACCTTGTCGGTCGGAGGTGGCGGCGGCCGGCCAGGTGCCGCGCTGCCCCGGGCTGCGGCCGGCGCGAGACTCGCCCGCCAGCCGGGTCAGACGGCGGCGGCGACGCACAGCGCCGGCGCGGTCCACCGGGGTACAGCGGGCGCAGCCGGGTGCCGCCCATCAGCCCCCGTCCTCCAGATCTCAGGTGCGGTGGTCGACCGGGCAGTGCACTGTGCTTGGAGCGATCAGTGATCTCAGGCAGTGGGTGAGACCGGTCGGAAGCTGTGATCTCGAGCTTGGTGTTGTTCTGGAGGCCCGGCGGAGCCCGAGCTGAGCACCGTGCTGGGACAGGGAGGTGAACCGTCTCGGAGAAGTGCGACAGGTGCAGCCAATAACTGCCCTGCTGGGCCGCGCGAGTAGACTACTCCAGAAGCTGCCACCTTCAGTGCCACCTCTACCTGCGACGGTCTGTCCAAGGGGCCGCCGCAGGTCACCTTCCCGGGAACGCGCCTACGGGACCGTCTGCCGGGGGGTCAGCAGCGACCCGACCGGGACCGCACGCCTAGGGGACCGTCTGCCGGGGGTCACCAGCGACCTGACCGGGTGATGGAGCTGACCAGCCTCCGGCGGCACACCACCTCCGGCCTCGTCAGCTCCCGATCGACTCTGTCCACTCAGGTAACAGCAATGAAAGGACCAGAGCAGGTCAACACTCAACAGTACTGTACTGAGCACTTGTCTGTTCATCCCCGTCCGAAAGCGCGAGGGAGAGAGGAACGATGTCGAGCTCCACTGTCTTTGTTTTTTTATGTCTCCTATTCGCCACCAAACTTTCAGCAGCCCATCCCACATCAATCATCCACATTATCCGCACAGTATTCATACATCATCCACACGCAATGGTCATGCTGCGTCGGCCCGAATGTCTCGAAAGTGACATGGTCTGAAATTTTAGACGCCAAAAGCTGATCTCAAGATTAAAGATGGAATTTAAAGATGGGAGCGGAGGCAGGGCTGTAACGTCATAGGCATTTTTGAACGCCTCCACCCCTTAGGCAGTGTATACTGAAGGGATATCCATTGGTCTAGCTCTGTCCGCTCGACGACACACGTTCAACCCAGACTATAGTCCAAGTTCAACCCAATCGTGTGTCTCGTGACGATCACGGACAGCTAACGTATCACCGAGACTCTGAGGGATGGAAGCAAGGGGAGAGTCCGGCATTTTTTTTTCAGAAATTTTGTCCGAATGGATGAATGGGTGGCTATGGGCCCGGGTGCTCCTCTAAGCAGTCCTTGTTGCAAATGACACCACGGACGGCCACCACGCCACCTTGCCCGCGCCCGGTTCACCGGTGATAATTTGGATCGAAAGTTTAAAAGACCCGTGACCGGCAAAGCATTTTATCGTTGACGTGACCTGTAACGTCATCGGTGACCCCGAGGTTAATGAAATTGGATTTCTCTCGACAAATTTGACTGGGCTTTCGAACGCCGTTTGTTTTGTGGATCCGTTCAGTAGGTTCAGAGATACGAGGGGGGCAAAAAATAGTCCATGACCCTTCCCGGTCAGGTCATGACCTTGACCTGTGGTAAAATTTTCAAAATGACCTTTCAAGGTCAGGGAATAGTTCATTCGACGCGTCTCGACGAGAGGAACACGATGCTGGTAAATGTAATGTCGTGGCTTGCTTGAGTCAAAAGTTATCCCGCGCACCGACGAGGGTCTGCGCCAACTCGCGCGAACCGACGAGGGGGGCGGATGACCGCGGTGGTGGCTCCCACTGCCTCTTACCCGGTCTCAGCCGGCCGCTGACACTGGTCTCTCACCCACAGTCGGCCGCTGACACTGGTATCTGTCCCACAGCCGGCCGCTGACACTGGTCTCTGTCCCACAGCCGGCCGCTGACACTGGTCTCTCACCCACAGTCGGCCGCTGACACTGGTCTCTGTCCCTTTGTCGGCCGCTGACACTGGTATGTTCCACAGTCGGTCGCTGACACTGGTATCTGTCCCGCAGTCGGTCGCTGACACTGGTCTCTGTCCCACAGTCGGCCGCTGACACTGGTATCTGTCGCGCAGCTGGTCGCTGACGCTGGTCTCTCACCCACAGTCGGCCGCTGACACTGGTATCTGTCCCACAGCCGGCCGCTGACACTGGTCTCTGTCCCACAGCCGGTCGCTGACACTGGTCTCTCACCCACAGTCGGCCGCTGACACTGGTATCTGTCCCACAGCCGGCCGCTGACACTGGTCTCTGTCCCACAGCCGGCCGCTGACACTGGTCTCTCACCCACAGTCGGCCGCTGACACTGGTCTCTGTCCCACAGTCGGCCGCTGACACTGGTCTCTCACCCACAGTCGGCCGCTGACACTGGTATCTGTCCCACAGCCGGCCGCTGACACTGGTCTCTGTCCCACAGCCGGTCGCTGACACTGGTCTCTCACCCACAGCCGGCCGCTGACACTGGTCTCTGTCCCACAGCCGGCCGCTGACACTGGTATCTGTCCCACAGCCGGCCGCTGACACTGGTCTCTGTCCCACAGCCGGCCGCTGACACTGGTTTCTGTTCCACAGCCGGTCGCTGACACTGGTCTCTCACCCACAGCCGGCCGCTGACACTGGTCTCTGTCCCACAGCCGGCCGCTGACACTGGTCTCTGTCCCACAGCCGGCCGCTGACACTGGTCTCTGTCCCACAGTCGGCCGCGGACACTGGTCTCTGTCCCACAGTCGGCCGCTGACACTGGTCTCTGTCCCACAGCCGGCCGCTGACACTGGTTTCTGTCCCACAGTCGGTCGCTGACACTGGTATCTGTCGCGCAGCTGGTCGCTGACGCTGGTCTCTGTCCCACAGTCGGTCGCCGGCCGGCCCCCCAGTCAAAGCGGCTCGCTGTGCTCTCCCGTCAGTTGGGACGGCTCGCGTCTCTCTCCGGCTCCGGGGAGCATCAGTCGCCGGTCAGACGGGCTCCCGTCGCCGCTCACCAGCCCCGGGAGCTGCGCGTCGGCTCCCGGCTCCGGTCACAGCGCGGCTCCCGGCTCCGCTCCCGGCTCCGCTCCCGGCCTGCTTCGGCAACATTCGGTGAGTCTTAGTTCGGTGGTTATCTCGAGCTAGTTTCCTGTTTATTTGTTACCCTTTTTGTACTCTGATTGATGTGCTATAGACTCATAGCTCCTACACTGGATACATCCAACACATTCGACGGCACCTGCTACCTCAGCATGGTTCCACCGCAGCACTAAACCGTTCAATCCCGGCTCCTTCCAGGTCTTGCGTTGTCCTCAGAACGAGTCGTTCTGACAGTGACTGTGGCACACTGTACCACCGGCTCACCCTCGTGGCTGCATGGTCATGGTGCCGTGATCCCGCACCCGTGCCCGTCCTGTGTGCGTCCGACACGGGTCCACCGCTGTTGACGCTCCCTGACCTGTTACAGGCACCGGCCGAGCCCCGGCCCAGGCCGCCGGTGGGCCGGCTCGCCCGTCTCGGTTCCGGGCCCACGCCTAGCGGCCCTTTTAAGCGGCCCGTCAGACAGAGGTTCGGTTCTTTGGGTAGAGGTCCGCACGCTGCGCCACCGAGGGACTATGACCCCTGGTCGGCTCAGGTGGCGCCACCTGCAGAGGGCGCCGGCAGGTACCAGGGGGCGCCACCGAGGCCGCAGGGGCCGGGACAGGCGCCGCGGCGGTCCCGCTCACCTTCCGTCGGTGACTCAGGTGGCAGCCGAGCTGAGCGCACCTCTGAGCAGAGGGTGCTCTGCGACTCTGTCAGCAGAGGGCGGGCGGAGGCCGGGTCCGGCCGGCGGCTCAACCTGTCCTACTCGGCTCGGGTGGCCGAGCGGCGCCGCCCGCGCTGCTCCGGTCACACCCTCAGTCAGAGCACCGACCTGGCCCAGGAGGAGGTGACACTGAATATCGCAGCGCAGGCCAACTCGCGGTGCCGGGTACAGAGAACGGAGACGTCCTTCTCGGACAAAGGTGACCTGTATGTGATGAGGAAAAGGGTCGACGTGGCAGAAAACTGCTCAATCACTACAGTCAGGGACGAAATTCTGACCAGCAAAAGTCAGAATTTTACTTGCTTTGGAGGGACTGACATAACCAAAGCAGAACGGCTTTCTAAAACAAAAACCAGACCCGATCATTACTATTTGGACAGAAGAGATAAAAACAAAAACCATATCCGTGAAAAGCGGGTAACACACAGTGAAGAGGTCAACCCAGAAGGTCTGAATATGTTTCCGTCAGACGCGAGAAGCTCTGATGAAAAGTCGCTACTCAAAAGAGGATACGATTCGTTCTCAGAAGATCGTGCAATGAAAAGATCGCGCCAGTCCGTGGTGTCGTGGAACTCTCCAGATCAATCTGTTCACTCTCCGGGCATTTTGGAGAGCTTCTCAGAAGCAAACCATTATAAAACATCCAATGTTTGGAGCGCGCAGCAGCACTGGCGACCTTCTCAAAGGAGCTCACGGCTCACCAGCCAGAGCTCTGACTACCGACAGAGAGAGGAGAGGATCCGGGACCGGCCGATGTCTGCCGTGCCGCCCCCGCGCTGGCTGCAGCACCCGCCGCCCGGCTGCCGGGGACACCCCTGGAGGTATGGGTCCGCGGCGTCCGGTGACGGCGGCCGGCGGCGGCCTCCGCTGCTGCCGACACCGCCCCGCGGCCGGCGCCGCCCGGGGCCGGCCGGCTCCCCAGCCGTCACCACCACCACCCGGCTGGGTGAGACGCCGCCCACCCCCGAATCGGCCGGCGCGGCCGGCCCGCTCGGCCTGCTCTGGGCCGCCGAGATGCCGCTGCTCCCGCAGCTGCTGGAGCCGCTCTCACCAATGTCTCCGCTCTCCGTGTCTCCGCCGCTGTCTCCCGAGCTTCCGCTGTCTCCCTTGTCTCCCCTGAGCTCGCCCAGGTCACCGCCCTCCGCTCGGCGGCAGAAAATACCAGAGGGAGACTTTTACCTAGGACCGCCCGAACCGATCACCACGTGCAACCCCCGATCGAGTCGCCACCGCTCACGTCTCACCACTGATAGGCTGAGCGACTCCGACACCGACTCCGACTCCGACTCCGACTCCGACTCCGACTCCGCCGACGGCCAGACCACGCGGTGGGCTGGGGCTCGGAGACGGGATACGCACAGGGACCGGCTCAACTCGGCCAGCACGGCGAGCGGGGACAGCTCGGCTGCTCCGAGAGCCGAGCGGCAGCGGCGCGGCGCTGCCCGACCGGCCCGAGCCGCGGTCGGCTCGTGCCCGAGCGGCGCTGCCTGGCCGGCCGGGCGGCGGCCCAGCGACGCTGCCGCCCCCGCCGATCGATTCGACCGGCGGCGCTCGAGTGGCGATCGATGTGCCGAGTGCTCCGCCGGCGGACACTCCCAGCGGCCGCCGGCCCGTCCTCCGGCGGCCGACAGCCGGCACTCGGCACCCGACCGTCACCCAAACACCAGTGACCCCAGGTCACCCCAGACCCAGCCGCGGCCGGGCCGTCCCGGTCGGCCGGGCCGCGGCCGGGGGACCGACGAGCCGCCAGCCGACCTGGCGACCACCTGTGGCCGCCCGGAGCCCACCGACGCTGCCGACGCCGACGGCCGGCCCAGCTCGCCCGACGGGAGAGCAGGCTCGCCCGGCGAGCCGGCGCCGCGCGACCTCACCATCTTCACCTCGGAGTACCTGTCGGAGCTGCTGCAGCTCCAGCGCCGGATCATGACGTCACGCGACAGCGAGGAGATGGCGCGCGTGCTGGAGCTGCTCTGGGGAACGGGGCAGGTGCAGGACTCGGCCCTCTACTACGACTTCGACCTGTGCGCACTGGACCAGGGAGTGGTTCGCCAGCTACAGAAATGCCTCAGCTAGTTAATTAGGACGTGGTTCGCCAGCTACAGAAAAGTCGCACCTAGTTAACCACGGTGGGACGCTATCTACAGAAATGCCTCAGCTAGTTAACCAGTGGTGCACACCGAATCAGTTGATGACATCTCAAACGTACTTTTTAAATTCTGGTAGATGTGAGTCATATTGGCTGGAGCAGCCGTCAACAGAGGCGATCCAGCACCGATGACGCGCTTATTTCGCACATCTTAGTCGACCGACTGTCATTTCAGGTGGGGGCACATCTTCCCTTATTGCTGATATCGCAGTACAATCACCGAATCAGTCGTCGTGTCATTCGGGGCGACAACCTCATGAGTTTTATTGGATATGGGCTGATATTTTCTCGGTTGCATATATTTTGAACGCGCTCTTTCGGGGAAAAACAAAAGCTCAAACTGTCACTGGCCCCTCTCATGGGCCAGTGAAAGATATTGAAAGATATTAAGCCAGGCATTTATCACACCTTTGATTATATTAGTGCTACAGCTAAAATACGAATGTGTGAAGCATACAGTATAACAGTACATTCATAAAAAAACAGAAGACAAAAAAAATGAAGCACAAAAACAGCACAGATGCTGGTACAAAAATATAATTCGTGGGTAATAGTATGTAGATTGCGAAGGCTTTTAGCAAGGGTTTAGAGCTGTAAACCATAAAACAATAATAACGGCGAACCTTCACGCGGCTCATATTGGTCATGTTTCAAGGGAAATCAGCCTCACCGTCCCCGTGCCGGCCAGCCGGAGAGCTAATGGATACTTGCCACAAAGTATCGCACTCCCGGTGCATTGTTGAGAGCCGGGGTTCAGGTCGCTCCAGTGCCTACTGGCATGGCTGCTTCCGAGTTGCTCGGGTTGCGACAGCCTGTTGAGTTCAGTGAGAAGGACGCAGTGTGACGTGTCTAGCTAATCTCCCGATACAGAACGAATGCCCGATCGAATGCCCCTATCTACTTAGGCCGAGAGCTGCTAGACCTGCCTAGTGCGGTGTCTGAGTTCTGGCAATTCGTTCGAGATTTACAGATATTACTAATTATGTCGGGAAGAATATTGTGCAGAGGTTGGAGTACTCTAGGAGTTTTGGAACGGAAATGATCCTCAGGGAACACCTGCATTGTGTGCTGGTGAGGCCATTTTTCACCATTGTGATCAATTAGCCAGTGAGCTGTGAATTAATGTTCAAATACAAACCTTACAAGCCTTTGATGTGTTTGACATGTATCGCCAATAGGTATAGGTGTATGACAAACGTGGTCGATCGATGCGGTAGATATGGAAGTTTCACACAACAGGTCCTGTAAATATTTAGCCTCCAGACGGCGCACTGACCAAGGTGAGCCCCAGCTGAAATATAATACGACTTCATATGCACATTATTTATTGTCTGAGAAAATATTCCTTTCCTGGAACCAAAGACACCAACGCTCGCTCGCAGAACAACACACGCATGCTCAATAGTAGGTACACATATCCGGTCCTATTCATGCATACATCACAGTTCACACTTTCACGCTCTCTAAATACTTTGGTGTGTTCTTTGGTTCAATGTTATTAGCATAGGTATATCTAAATTTCTATTATTTGTTTTTCTCTACCACATTCTACTAATGGTACTTCCGTATCAAAAGCCGTAAAATATTTTCTGACGACTGATCACACCTTCGCAATGTCGGGCTGTGACCTTGCATGACACGGCACCGGCGCAGCATCGTGTGTACGCAGTATGGGCTGTGAGGGTCGGACCCGTCTCACCGGAGACTCGGCCAAAGGACACAGTGGGAGGCACAGCGTCGGTCACAGAACACATACAGACATATCCTGCTCCGGTCCCAGCCGGCAGGGGAGTCGGGTCGACACTGACTCAGACACGGACTCCAACAGCGCCCATCCGTCCGTACTAGCCGAAAATGAGCCGACATGTGCGACCCAAAGGAGGCAGAGCGGAACAGAGTAGGCTGGGAAGGGTCGGGATGAGATGGGTATGAACGGGACCAGGATGGCGGACAGAATGAGGAGCAACGGAACGGTTAGGGACGATGCGGGATAGGGCATGGGACAGGAATGGCCGCCGTGGAATGGATGGCAGTATGGATAAGGGACAGGACGGGACGGAAGGAGATGGAAGGGACGCGCTAGCTGAGTCTCACCACAGACCGTCCGATACTCGGCCATCCCTGTCCCACTACCAGCGCTGCCTCGGTACCACACCTTCACCGATACACCGTCCTGCCGCCCGCTCACCGGCTGAACAGCGACCAGAGCCTCACGTTCGGTACAAGGCTTCTGCTGACGGTGAGAGGACGCGAGTCGCCACACTAGAATGAGAACCCTGGCCTTTCGCAGGGTGTACTCAGGGATTTACTCCACAATCGGGATTGTGAGACAGCGGGAAATCTAAACACTAAAAACGCGGTCCGCACAGGGAAACGGTAACCTTCAGAAAGAGGCGCTATCACTGGGAAACCGTCATACAAACAAACATTGCGGGTGAACGACGGGTCAGAAAGCGCACCATGTCCGTATCGCAGGCGTCAAACAGTTGAACCTTTCTCGGCGAGGTCACCACCTAAATCAGACACACTGAGGTGAGGCGTCACCCTGAGACAGAGTCACAACACACCGGCCCGGTCCGCTGCAGCGCGCCGGCCGCCCTACAGGATCGGGGGCAGGAAGGTGCCGCCCTCCTCGCTCGTCGCCTCCGTCGAGGGCCGCGTCGGCGCCGCCGTCGGCTGCTCGCTGGCCCCTGTCGGCGCCGACGGCTCCTGGGCCGGGGTGCTGCCGACCGGCGGGGCGCTAGGGACCGAGGCCGCCTCACTGCCGTCGCCCTGCTCCTGCGCCACGCTGCTCTCCTGGCGACTGACGGCCGGGACCGGGGCGGGCGGGCCGGCCGCCACCTCCGCCACCGGCGCGGCGGCCACGTCTCGCACCGGCCGCCGGCCGCGGTAGATCTTGTAGATGCTGTAGGCAGGCTCCTCGGCGGCGGCAGGCGCAGGGACGGCCGGCGGCGGCGGCGGCAGGGAGCTGACCCGACCGCCCAGGAACGGGTGACGGGCAGCCTCCTCCGGGGTCAGTCGCTGGGACGGGTCCCACCTGTGTATGCGAACGGGGAGACATCAGAGCATGGGGAGTGGAGAGAGTGGTAGGTATATAAATACCAGTCTTATGTATACTAGTAGTGATGTCAATTACGGAAAATCGGAATACCGATACCAAACCAAATACCAACCAAAACCGTGGAGAAATACCGAAACCAAACCAACTTGGGAACATGAGGAAAATGCCAACTTTTTACCGATTTCTTAGCCTCTTAAACATTAGCGAGGGTTTATGATACCAACAAAATACCAAACACATTAGGATTGAAATACCAAATACCGAGTTGGTATCGGTTTGGTACAGGGCCTCGGCTAAGGAATTTTGACTGGTGGGCCACTTGGGCAGCGACATGGACTGACCTTCGTAGCCATAGCCCCCCCCCCCCCATTTTCGATTTCTCCCCAGATTTCGGCCACTTAATTCTGCAAAAAAAAAAACGTCAGGATGATATTAAAATGTAAAAAACGGGCCTCGACCCCTCCCCCGACTCTTCAGAGAGAGAAGAGAGTAGAGAGTAGGGACCCACAACTCTCTCAGTGACGATACTCCGGCGGTGCACATAAAATCGCACAAGTATGCACAAAATATTGACGCAGATAAAACTTTGGACGATAACTTACGGCCGGTCGGATGTTAAAATCAGCGAGCCCTGAGTGGATCGCTCGCCGACTAGTCGGAGATTCGGAAGCGGTCGGACGGGATCGGGCGTTGTCGGGTGGATCGGAAGGAATTGTGAACAGCACGAGTGCAACTTTAGTAAAGTGGGTTGTAGCAGGAACCCCAAAAGGGGGTTGTAGCAGCAGCCCCAACATCTCTGAAAATGAATATTGGTGTCGCATGGAAAAGAATTGACTCAAAAGCCCAAGCGCACTGTGCAACCCTAATATTTTTCTAAAAAACTAAGTTACGAGTATGTACGCTTTTGGTGAACAGTGTCCCAAACTTCAGATTTCTCTTTGGTGTCTGAATGGAAAATTCTAGCCACCCAAAATGTGAGAGTGGAAAATTATCCATTCTTATTCTTGAGTGTCATCTTCAGCCCAAATGAGAAATTTTTGGAACGCTGACTGTGGACGGTTCGAAATTCGTCCGACTGGTCAGATGTGTGACTGCAAGCATCATACCGGTCGTGAAGACGCATAATATCGCTTGCAGACTTCAATCGGCTGGAAGTCGCCGACACTACCTCTAGTTTGACTCTGGCTTATATCGTGTATATCGACGAGCCGTCTGAGATCGCTCGCAGGCTTATACCCGACCGTCTGAACTGGTCTGTTCTTTATTCGTAGTTTTTCTTGTAACCGACTGGTCTGCGGCAGATGCTTATGTGACTGCAACCACTCGATCGATCGGAAAGCTTGCAAGAACTTTCGCAGACCTCGATCGGCTGGAAGCCGCCGACACTATCTGTAATTGACAGAGGCAAACGTCTTTCACGATTATTGCATAAAATCTAAAGCCTCGGTCACACTTCACCGGATTGGACCAACGGACGAGAAACGAACGAGAACTGTCAGCGTCCGGTGATGTCCGTTTGTTTCCGTTGGACGTCCGTTTGTCATCCGTTAATATCCGTTCCATATCCGGTGGTGTCCGGTTGAGCACACCGGACACCACTGGACATGGAAGTACTGTGACGTCACATGGAAATCGAAGTAAAAATCATACAGCAAAGACGTAGGTGGTGGATTTTTTTCTTTTTAAGTTGTGGTTACTATAGTCCACCCAAGAGGATATTGCAAACAATAGGTTGAAGTTTTGTCACAAGAATATGTTTCACCGATGGGTACTTTACAGCCTGAAAATGTACGATAAGATCTGCTACTTCAATTTGAAAAGTGAAAAAAGGGAAAACTTCGATTTTTCGGAAAATCACTGGTGGGCCAAATCTTTGAGGCTGGTGGGCCATTTCGGGTCACTGGTGGGCCATTTGGCCCACCAGTTAACATGTTAGCCGAGGCCCTGGTTTGGTATCGGTATACCAAAAAGTTGGTATCCGATTGACATCTCTATATGCTAGTGTACACAGCAGTTGGTCAAAACGGTAACTTTTGTGCACCGGACAAGGATGGATGCTAGTAATTCAGCATAAAAAGAAACGGTAACGTCCACTACAGTATGACACACTGGGGTCACTGCCACTCACGTGAGACACTTTCCTATGAAGTCGACGAACATGGCGTCGCTGGTCTTGAGGGCGGAGGGCAGCGGGCGATTGCCGGGTCGCCGCCGTCGGCCCTTGGTGTTGGTGATTGTGCGCGGGTTGCCTCGCGAGTCTGCAGCGGACATTCAGGCGGTGGGCTAGTGGTTAGAGGGTACGCTCGGTGCAGAAGGAGCGATATGATTATAGCACCGTCAAAAATAGCGAGAAAGAACGTCTCTGCTGAGCAATCATTACCTTCGTTATAGGAATACGGCATTGGAGTGAAATAAGTAACCAAGTCTCGATAATGGAGTTTGAAAAAAGGCATCGGCATCATACGTAAAGGCCTGCAAACAATTTGAGTCAGTTGGTGCTAAAAGTTCCAGGATTTCTTGGCCTCAAATGCTTTGCTACTAAAAGTAGCACCGATACATGTCAAACAAATTTTTATTTAGAGCGATGCGACAGGCGGCTAATGTTATAAAACCTATAGAAACAGGGGTGCACTACACATGATAATATGTTAGTAAAAAAAAATTACAGGTAAGAGCAATAGGTATAACTTTTGGACTAAGTGATAGTTCAATCATGGCGCTTAGAGACAATACATTGGTTTCATTATTTATGCTTTCAGAACAGAAACACTTGAGCTCGTGATGAGCGATAGTTTCTCGGGACTTTCCCCGTAGTAATCATACCCCAGCCAATTCTAAGTTATTGAAATGGGCTTCAGCAAACGGCGTCGAAGCGGGTTCGTCACGGGATAGCCGTACGTTACGGGAACAGTGCAGACCCACGTGTGCAGGAGGGCGGGGACTTACCAAAGAAGAGGCGCCGGCGCGTGGCGTGCACGATGAGCTCCTCGGGCGGCAGGTCGAGCACCTCCATGATGCAGGCCAGCTGCTCCACCTCGTTCTCACCGGGGAACAGCGGAAAGCCCGTGTGAAGCTCCGCCAGAATGCAGCCTGCGGAAAGAAAGACAGGCCGCGGTGAGCTAGAGATTCATCATGCTGGTGGAGCCGCCCTGCGAGAGCCCTGTTCAATTGTTGTAAGACACAAACGTTTCAAAGAACAAATAAACCGAACAAGGTCGACGATAAAAGTTGCGATTAACCGAGCCACGGATAATTATTTTGTTGCGCGTGCATGAGTGATAAGTAGAAAGTTTTCCAGGCATTGACACGAGTTTTAGCATTTTTGAGCGAGTTGCCAAAATGGCATGTTTATAACCTGATCCAACAAATTCATAACATCTACGGCGCATTGTAGCATCCTAGAAGGCTTCTGACCACGTCTGTGTGGTCCGAAACTCGGTCACATCAATGTCTCCGCCCTATATTCCACCGAGCCGGGGAATAATAGCTGAATCCCTCCAGCCCTGGCCCCACCTGCGGTATCTCGTCTCCCAGCCTGTGTCTCGGACGATTCTTTAGCCGGTTTCCTGGACGCCACGGTGCAGGTTCTTTAGCGCGAGACAGAGAGAGCCGCGCGCCTATCGGTCGGGCCCGGCTGGCAGTGCCATTAACCCTCGCACGACCAGGCCATTTCTCATAACACGAACGACCAGGGGGGGGGTTGTTACGACCCCCCCCCCCTTGGCGTTTCGAAACGGAAGGTCGTAGAGCTTAGCGGAAAAAACCAACGGATTGCTCTCAACGAGATCTCGCGATTGGTGGTATATTTTTTGGTCCTAGGTCAACATTTGACCTACTTTTGACCGGTCAAAGGTCAAATTTTCGGAAAAATAGACTTTTTTCAACTTTCAGCGACGATTGCGGCAAAACGGTGGGAAATATCGACTTGAAACCTTCACTATCGTGTTCCTTGATCAATTCTCTATCGTTTGGTATGTATTTCGTTTCCCTAGCTCTAAAAATGGCGCGTTGGGAGCGCCGGAAGTCGGCAAGGTCACAGTCGGCGGCAGAAATTCGAAAAATCAAAATTTAAATTTTTGAAATCTGATTGTATTTTTGGATTTGGGAGGTCCATTTGCTCCCTATAGAAGCTAATATTGCTGCATATTCCCATTGAGGTGACAAGAATTAGCAAAATAGTGGTTCGGGCGCTTTTCAAAAATAGTACCGGACGCTGTTCCTCTTGTGACGTCATAGCTCCGTGACCTGACCTGACCCGGTCAAATTTCTTATACCATATGATAGCCAATACTTGCCCCAACATGCATGGGAAGTTTCATCACGATCCATCAACCGATGTCCGTACCACCGGCAGGAAACCTCGGGCGTTGGCACTCAGTTTGTGAAAATCCGGCCGGAGGCTGTACCTCTTATGACGTCATAACTCCGTGACCTGACATGACCCGATCAATTTTTTTTCGGCAAAAGATGCGCAAAGGTTGCCCCAGAGGGTATGGAAAATTTCAGCCCGCTACGACAAGCCGTTTAGCGTGCACTTCGAAAAAACCTCAGGGGGGGGGTTGATACAACCCCCCCCCCCCCCCCCTAGGCGTTCTAGGGTTAATACTACACGAAGCGTCCCGCTCCATCCCTGATCGATGACTCGCTCGAAATAGACGGGTCGGCAGAGAGCGGCACACAGAGGCACTGCGTGCAGTGCAGGGCTCTGCGGCAGTACCGCCGTCCAGTGAAACCCGCGCCCGCGCCGCCCCCGCACCGCCGCCCACACAGGGCGGCCGCTGAGGCAGCCGCCGCCGACAGGAGACGAGGTCCATTTCTAATGCCTGAGAAGCCTGGCAGTGCTGCCGCCCTTTCCATAGCGACAGCCGGCCGTTGCTATAGTTATATAGTTTCCATGTCACAGCGAATCTATGCGGAAATGCATGATAGGGTCATCTGAGTCCAGCGGAGAGCACCATATCGGAAACCACTTCCCCAGGGTAATGAGGGGCTTTGACAGCGAGATTATCAGTTAATGATATCAAAGTCTGTTCAGGAGGAACTGGCAGAATGTCAATTGTCGGCATCTCCGAGGAAGATTATCGAAACTTTACCAGTTGCAACGAAATTATGTCCGAGTCCATGTTGCAACTCATGGAGCAGGTATGCAATACAGCACTAATCGTTTCAAAAAGTATCGTGCCGTACTAAAACCAACGGCAGTGTTCTCTCACACTGGCTCCGGGGGCCAGTGTTCTCTCACACTGGCTGCGGATGCCGTGTCGCCTGCTCGGCAGCCCGATGCGGCCGGATGCGTTCCGTCACTGCGGGCTGCGCCCACACTGAGCGCGCATCGACCCGACATTGGCCGTAATCACCGCCGGAGCAGCCGCTCGGAGGATCAGCTTTCTGGACGTCACGCGGGTATTGCACGGCGTGACGCCAGCTCGGCCGATGGCAGTGACGCGAGCTCGGCCGGTGGCAGTGACTGTCGTCCGCCCGGACCAAGGCCCTCTAACCGCCCGGACCTACCCGGAGCTAGCTGATCGGCAGCCGGGTCCATCGGGTGTGTCCATGAGGTGATCGAACATCTGATGGTCCCGTTGATGAAACAACCGATAGAAAGACGATTATGGGGAATTCACCAGCCTACGCGATCGCTCTTCATCTGTTTAATCGTTCAATTCATAGCAGCTGGAAAAGATAAATTAATCAGATGGCGCGCTTCAGCACTGTCCTTTTTAATGGCAGCTTTTACTACCCTGCCCGCAAAACCTTTCCGTGCCTCCGTGTCCGTCGTCCGCTACGGCTCTCTCCCATCTCTCACCTATCTCTCTCCCTAACTGTCTCCATCTGCTCTCCCCGTCCCCGCCCCTTTCCCGTAATCACCGACTCTCTATCAGCCCGTATGGCCAGTCCACCGACCCGCGGGGTCTTACCGAGGCTCCACATGTCGATAGGCGTGCCGTACTGCAGACCCAGTATGACCTCGGGCGAGCGGTAGAAGCGCGACTGGATGTACGTGTACACGCGCTGGTGGGTGTAGCACGAGCTGCCAAAGTCGATTATCTTGATGCTGGAGGAGCTCCGCGACTTGAGAAGCACGTTCTCCTGTGGAGGTTGATGTGCGTATCGAAATATGGTACCGAACATTGCTTTTGACATGCCAAGTACCGTCTTTACCATGCCACAGTGGAGCAGACAGGACAACGTAGGTGCGCAATGAAAACGCCAAAAAGAAATGTCGCATAGTAGCGTTAACTGTTGTTATGCTTATAAAAGGTACCAGTTTTAGACGGCTTTTAGTATGTCATATCAGGTGTGCAGCATACAAGCATTTAGTTAGACGACACCCCGACTGCTCGACTCCCGGCTGTCTGCATGGTTCTCTCACCGGCTTCAGGTCGCAGTGGATGATGCCCTCCCTGAACAGCAGTCGCAGACACTGGACCATGGATGCGGCGAACTTCTTGATGAGCGACATGGACACGCCCTGGTAGTTGTTCTTCTTGATCAGCTCGAATAGGTTCAGCCTGAGGCAGGACGGTCGGGACGTGAGCACGGGGTGAACGGTAAGACGGAGCCAGGGCAAGTAGACGGTAAAGCTATATGCAGTTGGTGCATCTAGGATTCCCAACAATTCAACGAACAAATAGTACAGGAGGCAGGGATGAGCAGCTTATTGATAAATACATAGACAACATGAATAATGTAACATGATTCATGTTATCTATGATAAATAATATATAATTTCATTATCAAACTCAGGTCTCGGAGCCATTAAATCAGCTTGCACAGCAAACATTAACCTGATTTACTCGAGTTATGATATGTCGAGTTATTCAACCACACGGGCAGCCAGCCGGTCAAGTCGCGCACCCCATCAGCTGGAAGGTGACGCAGAGGTGGTTGCGGAAGTAGAAGTAGTCGAGCATGTGTATGATGTTGTAGCCACCCTCCTTGTCCCTGCGCCGCAAGTGGTCCAGAATTTTCACCTCCATCAGCGCCTGCTGATGGAACCGCTTCTTGTTCCTGAAAAAAAAAAAACAGAAGTAAGCCATCTAGCTCGATGAACCATGACAATACTTGTCACTTTATGGAAAAACACGGAACAAATAGTGCATGGACGCGTTTCGATTATTAAATCTTCATCAGCATGACATAATCACAGAGAAAACCAGATATAGCACACAAAATGTGCTATATCGTTTTGTGTGCTATATCTTGTTTTCTCTGTGATTATGTCATGCTGATGAAGATTTAATAATCGAAACGCGTCCATGCACTATTTGTTCCGTGTTTTTCTACTTGTCTATATCAATATACATTTGTCACTTTATGTCACTCAAACATATAGCAAATACGAGTACATTGGTGTCATGTAGATATTTTTAACGTTCAACTCATCATTAAATAAATGCCTATGCCTCATGCATATCTATTTATTTATCTGCAGGATTTATCTGACAGGAGAATAGGGGATTCTTCACCGGCTATCAACATCTGACGAAAGTATGTCCTCAGCACTCATGACCCGTCAGAGACAGTGGCAGACCCCAGACAAACTATTGAGTGTCCACAAAGACAACAAGCTTTTTTTTCTGCGGCACTTAGTAAAAGAAGCATAGGTAAGTCCGTTTTTTCTCAGGTATTTAGGCGAAACATATGCAACGCATAATCAGCTCCCTCTAATTTGCTTTGCAACTCTTTCCAGAAGGCAGGCTAGATTAGGCGAAAGTCTCCCCAAGCACTGACCTGATGATTTTGATGGCGACTTGCGTGTTGGTCTTGTGGTCGAGCGCGCGGATCACCTGTCCAAAGCTCCCCCGGCCGATCACCTCTAGGATCTCGTACCGGTACGCGATGTGGTCGTGCGGTACCTGAGGAAGCAGCGAGATGGACTGTCATGAGGCATTTTAGGTATCCCGCTGATCTAGAAATTGCTGGCCTACACGAAAATCACACGACCGTCCCGTGCTTCTATCCTCAGGAAACTGAAATCCTTCTCCTCCACGCCGCAACCCCCCTCCGGGCTGGACAGGCAACTTTATCTCATGCGGGCTGCTCCCTTGGAGCGGCACCGTTGCTCCCGAGGGAGCGCACCCCGTAGCCGGGTGCAGTGAGTGCCTTGGGGTTGGGTGGCCTGTCCTCTGGACGGGCTCAGCCCCGGCGACTCACTAGGGTGCCTGCCCAGACCAATGTCTCCCCCTATATCCTATTATCCTCCCGGCTCTGAAATGGTCTAATTGGACCGAAAGGGCCTAGCCCAACAAAACAAACAAACAAAAGAAAATCACATCAGAAGCCTCCAGCTGCATTCCCTTCTCCGGCTCTTCACTGTTATTTCGAAATTCTGTTTAATTAGAGCAAACTGATCAGTGCTTATGCCATTGCCACTCATTCTGGCTCACCCAAACATGCTTAGGCCGGTATGTGTTTACCAAACTGTGCCGTACCTTTACATAGCCACATTGTTTTACCGTAGTGTTCTGAATGTTGTAACTTCACGTATCTGCCGTACCGTACCGTACCTTGACGTAGCTGTCGCACTATGCCGTACCTTGACGTAGCTGCCGTGCTCGTCGTCGAAGCCGCCGTTCTGCTGCAGCGCCTCGTCGCCGGCCACCTTGCTGGCGTCCAGCCCGAGGAACCAGATCTCGTCGTACTGCTCGATCTCGGTCAGCTCGTACTCGGACATGTAAGAGGCGTAGTACCGCACCGCATCTGAAGGGGAGAGGCAGGGGGTCAGTATCGCACCGTATCTGGGGGGTCTGATTTTACCCCACTCGCCCCCTCCCACACAGGCAGAATCTCTGTCTTACTCGCTCACCGGATGATTTCAGTAACAGGGATCTGACGTGGGTGTCTGTGTGGCTGCCATGGGGTCCCTGGGTTACTAACCGGATGGTACAGGCTCACTCACCGGAGGGTCTGAGGGGCAGCTGCCTCCCGAGGGTGTCCGTTCGAGAGGGGTCCCAGACTCACTCACCGGAGGGTCTGAGGGGCAGCGGCCGGCCGACGGTGTCCGTTCGGCTGCTGAGGGGTCCCAGACTCACTCACTGCAGGGTCTGAGGGGCAGCGGCCGGCCGTGGGTGTCCGTTCGGCTGCTGAGGGGTCCCAGACTCACTCACCGCAGGGTCTGAGGGGCAGCGGCCGGCCGTGGGTGTCCGTTCGGCTGCTGAGGGGTCCCTGGGCCACTCACCGGAGGGTCTGAGGGGCAGCTGCCTCCCGAGGGTGTCCGTTCGAGAGGGGTCCTAGGGCTACTCACCGGAGGGTCTGAGGGGCAGCGGCCGGCCGTGGGTGTCCGTTCGGCTGCTGAGGGGTCCCAGACTCACTCACCGGAGGGTCTGAGGGGCAGCGGCCGGCCGTGGGTGTCCGTTCGGCTGCCGTGTCCCTGTTCAGAGGGACTCAGACCGCTGATGACGGGCAGACCGCGGCCTGACGAGCCTTGGCTGGAGCCGTTCGGCTGCGGTCGCTTCCCGGACAGCACCGGCAGCCGCTGAGGGCAGAGGCGCGCGGTCAGCGGTCACACACTAAAAGGGCGTCCTGAACTGGGAATAATGACTATCCTGCATTGCTCATGATGAAAATAACGACCCAAGGCATGGCTGTGAATTGTGATGTAAAAATAATCCAAAGAATCGATAAATTTACAAGATCCATGAATGGTAAAAGAAACTGGCGATCACTACAACTTCAAAAAAGTGTATGTCATGTTTCCAATATAGCGAATTTGCGGCGCAAAATATAGAAACAATGAAAACTTCGCTTGAATTCAAAATAGCAATAGGCGTTCCTAATTCATCTTCTTCACTTATCAAATCCTGTTCAATTAGGTATATTTGAAACTTAACATAAATGGCCTTGATTTAGCCAAGCGGAATCAAGCACAGTCCTGGTTATAACTTATGTGAAAACACATTTGCATAATACAAGGTGAAGCCAACCACGTAATTACATTCTGTTTCAGACAGATGTCGAGTAAATCGCATGCGATTCCATTCTGCAGCCACTTGGCAACGTCTTATCTTCGTTAAAAAGACGTAGATACAAAACACTCGGCAGCGGACTGTGAGCTAAAAAAAAATCATATGATTATTCACGCATTATATGATAGTATAAACGAAATAAGAAAATGAAGCGTCAACAGTACAGCACGCTTGTCGTGAAACATGGCTCTAATAGTAATTGTACGTTTTCAATCAAACGGTCTTATCCAGTTTCGCCAATTGATTCGTTGCTGTTGGCCTTTTTGCAGTTGAAGTCACCGTGTCATGCGGTGCAGTCTACCAGCGCAGGTATGTACTGCGCCGCCCAATACCAGGGAGTTCTACGCCATCACATGAACGAATCCCTGCCCTACAGGCCACAGCTGGCGTGTTCGGCTGGACAGAGCCCTTGGAAACAGATTTTGTAGCTAAAGCGCGTCCTGTATGGAGGCCCCAGCTTCCGAAAAGATAAGAAGGAAAGGATAAGAAGGCAGCGATGGAAAGCTTAACCCGCGCCCCACTGGGGTCTGTGTATAACACGCCCTACTGGGGGGGGGGGGCTATTCATAGCCCCCCCCCCTCCTAACTCCGAAACTACTGGGCCGATCGTCAAAATTCAAACGGCGTCTGATAGCCCCGGAAAAACTGTCGAGCGAAACCTAATTTCATTGACCTCGAGGTCACCGATGACGTCACAGGTCAGGTCAAAGTAAAAATTATTAGCACTTTGGCTTGTTCACATTTTGGGCTCTGGCCGCCGTCTTACAAGTCAGATCAGGCTCATTTTTGGTTTCCACACTCGTGAGCAGATGCTCTAGATACCTTGAGGGTACCAAACTTGTACTTTGATTTTCAGGTCAGGGTCAGGTCATCACAGGTCACGAAAATATTATATCATGCGTCGGTCACGTGACACATGTTTTATGGTCCATTTAGGCCATAGATTTCGAATTTGATGTCGTCTGTGTCATTCGAGGTCATTTTGAGTCGAATGTAGCTTAGGTCAGGTCACTTTCAGGTCAAAAAGGTCAAATTTTGAAGTTGAAATTTTTCAACAAAAAAGGTGTCTATTGGATGCAGTTTGAGCTCAGGAACACGATGGTGCCATTTATATTGGTGTACGATGTCAAATACGTACTGAAAAATTGATTTGAAAAATTAATAATTGTGAATTTTTTGCAATAATGCGTATAACTTGGCCATTTTTGAAGATATTTAGCTAAAACTTGCTAGAGTTAGTCATAATCATGCGTTTTGTCACATATATTCCGGTTTTTCCGAAAAGTCAAAAACTTTTTGAAAAAAATATAAAAATATAAATTTTGAATATTATTATATAAAATTTTCAAAATGTTCAAAATTTTGAAAATCCGAGATAGCAGTTTGATAGCGCGGTCAATTCTGGTCCTTTCATGCAAAGAAATTGGATCTAGCTTAAAAACTGAGCTCTTGGGAGCGATTACCGTGGTTCAATGTTTTGCGTCGAAATCGGACGAACATGACGTCACTCTGACGTCATTTCCGGCCGACCTATGGCAGCTACGAAGTTCAAATTTTGACACAGGGTGTCAAATTGATGCAGCCGAAGGTACTGAAAGTTTGGCGTCGATCCGTCAAGCGGTTTGGAAGTTATTGAAGAAAAACGGGAGGGGGGGCTATAAATAGCCCCCCCCCAGTGGGGCGCGGGTTAAATAGCGCAGCAATTCCGGTTCGATTTATATAAGTAGTTGTCAAAATAAGCTTGATGTCATAGAAGGCAGACATAGGCGGCAGAACGGGGAAGGCACCGGGGCAACGTGCCCCTCTTTGATTTTGGCATTTTAACGTTAGCCCTATGGGCGTTGCATGGAAAGAATGGGACCAAAAGTCGGCAGTGCCCCCCCCCCCTTAATTGAAGGTGTTCCGCCGCTACTGAAGGCAGAAAGAACCCCTACGTTTCGTGACACCCTTGCCATATTCTCCGAAAACCAACGCCAGAAGGCAGTGCGTTACAAGCCCAGCTGCAAGCCCTCGTTCCAAGCCTGCACTCACCTCGTTGACAATGATGCCATTTTTCTTGGACAGTCCTCTCGCCTGGTTGATTGGATTCCTTCCGGGGATCGTCGTGACTTCGCCATTGATGTTTCCTTGGTTCTGAAAGCAAGAGAAAAGAGCTCTTAAGGCATGCTCTTTAGCAGCTTATCCACGAACGACTTCCTTAGTTTGGTCTGCAGGCGTCCACTGCACTACCATGCATGACGGTGTGTCAACAAGTTGCAGATATGAGATACGCTACATATGTACAGGGTGTTTCTGAAAATGCTGACACATTTATTCCTCCTATATCTCTTATGTTTATTGACGCACACACATTGTCATAGGCTACAACTAATCAGTCATCATTGGAAATTAACATCCATCGCCAATGATCACTATTTGATCCCCTTCCCGGAACCTAGAGCAGGTTGTCGAAGTGACCACCACTTCTGGCCAAACAGAGTTCAGCCCGACGGCGCACTGCTTCCAGAACTCGGCGGCGCTCCTGGGGCGTCACCGCCCTCACGCACGCGCGGACCGCAGCCTTCAGCTCGGGGATGTCTCGGGGCTCACTCTTGTAGGCTCTTTCCTTGACATGACCCCAGAGGTAGAAGTCCGCCGGCGTGAGGTCCGGAGACCTCGGTGGCCACCTGGTGGGGGTGCCTCGGGAGATACCCCCCCCCCCCCCCCGAAGCGCTCCTGTAGCCACCGTATAGGGTCACAGTGGCTGCATGAGCGGGGGGCACCATCCTGCTATTCGTTGCTGGTGTCCACACACTTCCGCTGGAGCGCAGTCCAGAACTTCTTGAGCACCTGCAGATAGCGCTCCGCCGTCACCGTGAGGACGTCGCCCGTGTCATCTGCGATCCAGATTGGGCTGATAATGCCCGTGCTGCTCACAGCGCACCATGCAGTGCATCGGGGCGGGTGCAGCTGACCTGCGACCTCGTCCTGGGCCTTCTCGCTCCAGATCCGGTTGTCCAAATCAGATCAAGATCCAGATCAAGATGAGCGCCATTGTGTCAAAACAACTAAATTGGTTTCGAAGTAAAAATGCACTATCTTAGCCTTTTCCTTCATGTCAGTAATACGGCGTGATGAATGAAAGCACCGATGCTGTCAAACAAATTTCCAAAAACTATTCCTTCGTCTCGTGTATTGAACACGTGCATTTAAATGCAGTAAATTCCTCCAAATATCAAAACAAATGTGTCACCATTTTCAGAAACACCCTGTACATTATATATTTTCTGCACACTGCGAGTCCCGTTTTGACGTATCTGTAGTAAAAACATAGTTCATAATTTGGCACGCTGGGGGTGGGGGGGGATGGCCACATATTTTAAATGAAACATTATATCTGTATTTTGCCAATAAATGATGGATCTTTCACATGAATAGAATCCTTAGAATGATAATAACCGTACATACATAAGTTTAATAACTTGTCACCTGTTCCGAAAATTTCATTAAAAATGCATGTCTATTTAAATTTACTTATTAAATGAATTAAATGCAAATGCAAATTAATCGCATGAGGTAAATTAATTTTAAAAAAAGACACATGAATTGCTCATAAGCCTTAGGATCGATTAGTAGTTTCTTTTTAGGAATTACTTGAATATCATTTTCAACCAATCTTGTTCACTTCAGCGTCATTTTCTTGCGAAATTTATTCACGATATTTGGGACTAAAAACAGACACAGCCGGTTATGTTTCGTTAACAAAACTGGCATCTGATTTAGAAGCCGAATAGACTCGTATTTTACCTGTTACACTGCCAGAATAGACCCATACCTGACCTGACGAGGTCAGTGACCGGGCGGGCCCACCCCGGAGCGGCTCACTCACCCTATAGCGCAGGTCTCGGCTGCGCCAGGGGTAGGTCAGGTAGGTCGGCAGCCCCACACACGTGTTCATCGGGCGATCACGAGCGGCGCCACTGGTCTGACGCGCTCGGCGGCGGCGGCGGCGGCGGCGACCCGCCCGCCATCTCGGCCCCACTGCCGCCGCCGCCGCCGCCGCCGCTGCCGCCGTCAGCCGCGGCGCCTGCGTACACCGACCGTGGCCAGGGCAACACAGCTCACCTGACCGGCGCATCGATGCGCCCCCGGGGGGGGGGGGGGTCGCCGGGCGGGGGGCACGCCGATCTGATTTGCTAGCCGGTGGGTGCGATTAGCCAGCGGCGCGGCGGCCGTGGATGCAGTAATGAGTATGGCGGAGCACAGCGACGGCGACCACCCCACCCCACCCCTGACGGGGAACGGCGGGTCGCCCAGTGACCGAGACGGGTCATTGTGTGTCGTTGGATGGAGATGAAACTTGTAGCTTTAGGGTAATTACCTATGCCATCCCTAGGATAGGAAGCATGGCGTTGCATTTTTTATCTCCTGATCCAGGGAATTGCCCGTGCCCAGATCAATAAACGTCGAGCATTGTCCAGGCCAGGCCATTGGCCCATCTTCTGCCCCACTACTGGACCGGTGTTATCGGCTGCAGAGTGCTGGCCCTGGTCAGAGCGCTTGGTCACGTCGGACTGCTCTTCAGGGCGTCGAGAGCGGCGCCGCGCTCCTCAGGAGACAGTTCTGCACGACGGTGGACGCGTCGCCGGGCGCCTCTAATTGCGCCACTGATCGAGCTGCACTCAGTCGGTCGGTCCGGCCCCACGCCGGAGTGGACGGCCGTGTCCAGCGATGCCTCACAGACGCCGTTCAATGGCGTTAGAGATAGTCCAGTGTCGCCTACAGACTGCCCAAAGCCACTGCTGAGCTTAGAGGAATCCCAGGGGTGTGGGCAGAACTAAGAATCGCTGGCTGCAAATGAAGCTTGTAGGAGGTCCAGTGTATGTCGCGGATGAATTCCGCTGTAGTCCAGGGGTAATGAATGGAGCCCAGTGGAATCTCGTAACCATGGTGTGAATCAAAGGAAGCCCACTGTCTTAGCGGCGGAGCAGTGAATATATAGGACATGGAGCAGGGCTGAAAAGCCCATGGAGTCGTGACGGACATGGTCAGATAAAGCCCACCTACCCAGTCTGCCGCCCTGCAGGCTGACAGATACCCTGAGTTCAGTAGCATAGAGCCGTGCGGTCTCCACCAACGACACAAGGCAGTCAGCTCAGCCGACTGAGAGTAAAGGCATATCAGAACAGGTCAATCCCACTCTAGCAGCTGATCAAACAGGAGGGTACTCAGCATCAGCACTTATAACCCGTCTGAGACTCTGAAGCCCTCCGGCCGTCGTTTTAACCCTATTCCTGGCGGGGGGGGCCTCAGGAGCCCCCCCTGAGGTTTTTTGGTTATTTCTCCCAAACGCGTTGAGCTAGGAAGCTCAAATTTTCTGAATTTTCCTAAAAGGCTTCTACGCAACATGTCTGAAAATTTCGAGTTGATCTGACCTCAGGTCAGGTCACCAGACGCGGTTTGGTGACCCTACCTCAGAAAAGTTTGCAATCACGCCAGAGCTAGAGTTTTTGACCGATCAATTTCTTCTCTTCAGGCTTTAGTTAGGGTACCAGTATGTGCAATTTGTATATCTCGGAATTTTGATATCGGTGACCTAAGGTCAGGTCAGTTTCGCGACCTCCCCATTATAAGTCAATGGGGGAAAAATCAACTCCCTGTTTTTACCACTAAAACGGGTCGGAATGGCCCCATATACCATACATGACTTCATATACGATCAACCTTCACTACCTTGAGGTCTGTTTTGCTGTTGGGCAGCTGTGAGGTCATGTGACGTCATCAAAGGTCACCAAAGGTTTTTGGGCAATAACTCCGTACAGGGACAAGATACAGACGCGTGGATGGTCTCATTGTGTTCAGCTCGTCAAGACGCATCGAATGATATACATGATGACCTCGAGGTCACGTGACCTGAGGTCAACCTTTGACCTTGACCTTTCGAGGTCAACATATATATCATTCGATGCGTATTGACGAGAGGATCACGATGATGCCCTTAGTTTGTTCCTATCTTGACTAATTCGAAAGTTATTCGAGAAAAACTCTCCATATCTAGCGCCGCCATTTTGACTTTTTCGACCCCTGTGACGTCATCTTTGACCTGACCTGAAAATGACCTTGGTAAAAATTGTAGACCTTGTCCATGCGTATCCGATGCCGTTTACCGCTTGTCGCTATCTTGCTTCGTTCTCGAGATCTCAGGGGGAGGGGCCGAATCGGCCCCCCCCCCCCGCCAGTTTCTTGTCCCGGCGGAGCCCGCCAGGAATAAGGTTAAATGGAGGCCTAACATTCAGCCAGATCAACAAAGAATTGATAGCCAGTGTCTAGTGAGGGTAACTATTAACTGCTAACGATATCAGCCTGGAACCGGTATTTTCCTCTCCTGTCCGATAATAAGGCAAATAACGTACAGCCAGGCAGGTAATATACACCTGCATGTTACTGGCTGATAGCCGGCAAAAGGTGATCTCCGGTCATCATAGGACCATTTCCTCTGCGTAACATAACTTTCAGCGCATATGATGTCCATTAAGAGCAGATTGATCTAAGAATTGCATGAATCACAGATATCGATTTATGCATGACACCATCTATTTTCCGAAGATATACATACATATAGCTCGCCTTATCACATTTGTAAAAGGAAGTTGACATTCAATTGCAAAATATCCTTTTACAAGAAAGGAAGTCGCTAGAGTCAAGTAATTCATGATAGAGGGTAGCTATTTTAGGTCAATTCTTGCACCCAAAATTAGATTCCATGAATTTCTGTAAAAAGAGGCATTTGAAGGGAAAAAGGATAAAACAATCTTCTGGACATAAATAATTCCATCTCATCGAGATTGAGGTAGGTATATGATGATGGAACCATTAAAACGGGTCTGAACCATCGCAATCGGGTCTAAATAAGTGATAAGGATAACATAAAGAAAAAAGCAAATGCCTTTTAAACGATGATCAAGAGTCAAGACCAGGAGGTAAGTAAAAAAAAAGGCTACAAAACTTGAATGAGAAATGATCAGTGAAGGAAAAAGTAAAAAAAAAAATATCGGTCAATAAGAAAAACAAGCAGAAAGGAACGGCAACGCCAGAAGTAGCAATAAATCTTTATAAATGCAGCGACACATGGCAAAATAAGTAAAATAAAATAAAATAAAATAAAATAAAATAAAATAAAATGAAATAAAATAAAATAAAATAAAATAAAATAAAATAAAATAAAATAAAATGAAATGAAATAAAATAAAATAAAATAAAATAAAATAAAATAAAATAAAATAAAATAATATAAAATAAAATAATATAAGATAAAATAAAATACATTAAAGGGACTATCCCACCTTCAAAAAAGTACCATTTAGGATTCGGAAATGTTACTCATGATATTGTGACGAATTCTGCAAGTTTTTACGCGTTTTCATTGTATACCTACTTTTTGAGATATTGCGACTTTTATATTTTATCGTGACGTCATTTAGATCGGATCTGTGACGTAATGAAGGATTTACTTCATGTCAATGTGGGGGAAATTTGGCAGCAAATATAGGTATTTGCTCTCAAATATGACGCGGCTCATACATACAAGTGTCTCTGATTAGCTTATTCGTAAATCAAGTGAAACTTCACTTAACCCGCGCCCTGCTGGGGGGGGGTGTTTGAACACCCCCCTTGTGGTTTTTCGCGCATATCTCAAAAACGGCGGCGCGGAGCGCCGCCGTTTTTGGTACACCTTATCATACATCAATTCTACATATGTTGTGAAAATTTCAGACCAAGGTCATTCAAGGTCAGGTCACCAGGTCACTTGAAGTGACCTCACCTCATAAAAACTTTCAATGTCTGTCATAGCTACACCGAGTGACCGATCGCTTTGAAACTTTCAGCGATTGCTAAGGGCAATAGCATGTACAAAATGTATATCTCAGAATTTCGATATCGATGACCTAAGGTCAGGTCAATTTTGCGACCTCCCCATTATAAGTCAATGGGAGAAAATTGAAATGAGCCTCTTTTGGATGAAAGACATTATAAACACTCCCAAACACCGAATTACAAGTATTTTAGACACACTGAACTTGAAAATGGTGTCCGTGACCCTTGTTTATGCCCTGAGGTCATCTCAGGTCACGAATGGTATCTAACAGTTTTTCGCAAATAACTTTTGATAGAGGCATTCTAGAGCGATGAAAACGCCTTAGATGTGTTCAGCTCGACGATACGGATCGACTGATATGCAACATGACCCTTTCCGGTCAGGTCATGACCTTGACCTGAGGTCAAATTTTCAAGTTGACCCTTCAAGGTCAAGTTATAGTTCATTCGATGCGTCTTGACGAGAGGAACACGATGGCGGTAAAAGTAAGCTCGTACAAGGCTTGGGTCAAAAGTTATTGCAGAAAAACTGTTTCCGAAAAAATCGGCTATTTTTGCAGTTTTTGCCCCCTGCAGGCAAAACCGTTGACGTTAGGTCAAATCTGAGAGAATTACTCAGAAAGGGCGCTAATAGGGCTATCGAATGCGCTTTTCCGCGGCGCTGTAGCTCTATTGGTTCCCGAGTTATGCGTTGGCTTCTTGGAAATTTTCGACATTCGACCTGGAAATCGGCGAAATTTTGCCTTCAATGACCTCTGGTGACCTGACCTTTGCCCTGACCAAAAAATTGACCGAAGTGATTTCGTCATTATTTTTGACGCTCTTTCGAACGCCGCCTACCGCGTATCGCTACGTGGCCCAGGAGCCGAGTTAGAAGGGGGGGTGTTCAAACACCCCCCCCCCCCCCAGCAGGGCGTGGAAATCCAGGACCCCCAGCAGGGCGCGGGTTAATGCGTGACAGGCGTTCAAAATGCAAATGACGTCATCAAATGACCGTTAATAGTTAAGAGATTTGGCCTTGCGCAAGGCCCATTTTCAAATGAAGGGAACGAATTTCTTCAACACCACGAGGCCGCGGGGGTTGCAACCAAGATAGATAGTGGTTTCTGAACCTCGCCGCAAACATGGCTATCTCAACTCAAACCTAATGTAAAGGTGGGATAGTCCCTTTAAACTGAATAAAATAAAATAAAAAATGCTAACCTGGAGGAGCAGGGAGTTGTAGTGGGGGTCAGCGTACGCGCTGTACCGGGGGTCGGCGTAGGAGTTGTACCGAGGGTCGGCGTAGGAGCGTCGTCTCCAGGCCCGCTCGGCAGCAGCGGAAGCGCTCTGGTTCAGGTGGCAGGGGCAGTGCGGCTCCGGTCGCCGCAGAGTGGCCGCGCGCCGCGGCGCCGCCGCTGTCGGCAGTGGGTTCCGCTCGTGCCAGCTGCCGGCGCCCACTCCCTCCAGCGGCACGAAGGCCGGCTGCAGGTAGCTGGGGAAGCGGCGCCGCTGCTCGAACCGCGCCCGGTAGGCGGCTCGGATCAGCTCGGCGTCGTGCGGGCGGTGGCCGAGCCCCGGCGCCGGCCGCTCCTCCCAGAGGCCGCCCTCGGGCGTCACGAACGGCGGGTAGTCGAGCTGCGGCGGCAGCGCGTCGCCAGGGGACCCCGGCGGGTGGGCGCGGTCCTCGGAGGGCGGGCCGACCGGGGCGCGCACCTGGAAACTCTGGCTGCGCACCGCGGGCCCGGCGCGGCGGCCCGGGTGTCCGCTGTGCGCCGAGTAGCCGCCGTAGGAGGCGCCGCGGCCGCGCTGCAGGCGCAGGTCTGCGAGCCGGTCCCGGCGGCGGCCGCTCTCCTCCAGGGTCGAGTACAGCGGGCTGACGCTGTGCGGCGGCGTCCAGCTCGGTCGCTCGGGACTCTCCGGACTCGGGCTGGAGAAGGTGGCCACGTGAGGCCGTGCCGACGGCCGATCGGCTCCGAGCGACCTGCGCCGCTCACGACTGGCGCGTCCCGAGCTGCTGCGCCGCTCTTGCTCCCCCTCTGAGGAGCCCTTGCTTGAATTCTCTTCAGCCAGGGGCGGCAGGAGGTCGTCAGGGTGGTAGTTGCCCCCCGGAGGTGGTGGCTGTGGCTCCTCTGGGACAGGCCTGCGTTGGACGGACCGCGGAGGAACCTCCCCACCGGCCACCTGGGTCAGGTCGAGCACCGGCAGCGGCAGCGGGCTGGGACTGGGCGTCGGGTCGTGCCGCTCCTCCAGTAAGGTGCCCAGGCTGCGGCTCTTGAGGCCGTGAGAGAGGGACTCTGCGCGGCGCAGCGGGCCCGGCCGAGGGGCCGCTGCCGTGCGCGACACCAGCACCACGGGGCTGCAGTAGGGCCCGTTCGGCGGGTAGTGGTACACCATCTTCCCCGGCTCGGGCCCGGTCGAAGGCTGCGCGGACAGCAGGTCGTCGCGGCTCCGGGAGCGACGCAGGGTAGAGTTACGCGCAAACTGCCGGTGTGGGGCGGGCGCGGCGGCCGAGCTCAGCTCGCTCAGATGGCCGGCGATCGAGACAGAGCGATACAGACCGCGCGCCGGGCGCTGCTGGTGCTGGCGCTGCGGCTGGGACTGATGGTGGTGCTGGTGCTGACGCAGGTGCTGGTGCAGGTGCTGGTGCTGCGGCGGGGACAGCACCGGCGGCGGCAGCGGCTGGTACCTGGCTCTGTCGGAGGTCACACCCCTAACGCCACCGTCCCCTCTCATCGTGCCGAACCGGTCTAGCGCGGCGCGGCCCGGCGCGCGGGGCTCCGGCTCGCGCGGCAGGCTGTGCGACTGGCCCAGCTGCAGCTGACCCGGGTAGAACTCGGCGAAGCTGGCCCGCCGGTTGGGCGGCACCCTGGCGCGCGGCAGCTCCTCGGCAGCAGCCGCGGCCGGCCGGCCGCGCTCGTGGCTGCTGAGCAGACTCTCGCTGCTGAGCCAGCCGTGCAGCCGCTGCTGAGCGCGGCGCACGCTGCTGCGGCGCGTCACGGAGCTCAGCCAGCTGGCGCCCTTGCTGAGCCAGGGCCGGCCGGGGCGCCGATCGCTGCCGGCCGACAGCGCCGAGGCCGGGCTGACGGCTCCGTCCTGCGACCAGTCCACCACGATCCGCATCGCCGAACTGGGCCGCGCCCGCGGCGGCGGCCGGCGGGCCTCCCACCGGCTGACTCCCACGGCGCTACCGGCCGCCTCCCACCGCTGGTCCCACCGCCGTCCCACCGCCGTCCCACCGCCGTCCCAGCGCCGCTCCCACCGCCAGCGGCTCCGCCACCGCCGTCCAGCTGAGTCGACCTTGAAACGGAACGTAACACAGACACAATCAAACAGCGGGCAGACAGGACGATACAGAGACGTGCGTGTGCGCTGCGCTGTGAGCTGGCTGATACTGCGGTGGCGTTCGGTGTCAGACTGGCCGGTGGAGTGGCGCCAGTGGATGGACGTTCCCCCGGCCGGCATGGCGGTTAGCGTGGGAACGGAGTTTCGGAGCAAGGTCGTCAATGATTCGCCCCATTCGCCAATCAGTGTCGCTCATTTGGCGAATTGTGGTCGCCAGAAGTAAACCACGCTACAGCTGCGGCCTTGTGGAAAATGAACAGCCTGAGTTTCAAATACGGGTCCCACAGACGAGCCAAGGAGAACGTATTCTCATAAGAGTCGAATATTAGGCAACTGCTAAGTGGTCAACAATGCAATAGCAAATGCTCAAGCAAGTAACAGTTGCTTATTGTGAGTTACTGCATGCAGAGACGTAGTGGCTTATGCTCAGTGTATGCTCAGATAATAGTCGGTCTTATATTTGTATCATACCGATAAAAAGACAACTGATCCGGCCAAAAACATTGGTTCAATCTTTGAGTGGGTGAAGTTGAGGCTATAAATAACATTATAACCAGCTCTTATAATAACTTATATAGCTTATCTTATATCTTATATATATATATATATATATATATATATATATATATATATATATATATATATATATATATATATATATATATATATATAATATATTATATCTTATATATCTTATATATAGCTAGCTTATCTTATATTATCTTATAATAGCTTATAATAACATAAATAACATTATATACCTACTGGGTCGTTGGTCACCTTGTCACCCTAATTTGCTACCTGCAGGCTGTTGTCGGTGAGATCGAGAGCCGTTTCTGCTCGGCTGGTTTCAGTTGGGAGGTCGGGGCCAGGCTGGGGGTGCCGGTAGCCGGGACACGCTCTGGTTCACGGCTGGGTCACCGGGCGGCCTGCCACGGTCACCTGGCCAGACACTAGACAGACAACGCTCCACGGGCGGCCCGCCACGGTTACCTGGCCAGACACTAGACGGACATCGTTCCATGGCTGTCAGTGGAGTGAGCGCGATGGAGAGGGACTTTGGCTGAAGACCGCAGTTAGATCATTGTAAAATTATTGAGTGGCATGTATTATAGAAGTGCTCTCATGGTCGACATTGAGAAACGTCGATATTTTGACTCCAACCTTGACCCTTGCTCAATGCTCATCCCAGCCAATCACCGGACGCAGACGCACACTCCTTGTCGCAGATCATATTTAGGGATGCTTCCGGCCCATTGGAGCGGAGCGGGATCTGTGCGCGGTCCCTGCACAGTTCTGTTACGATTTCCGCTGCCATCGTCAGGTGAGCGCTCCCAGCGCCCGCCGCGCCGGCCAGAAGCCAGTATTGATTGGATCACGGTGTGTTGCCGGTGGGAGCGGCAGCGGCGGCGGGAGGCGGGGGACGGTGGGGGCGTGGGGTGGGGTGGGGCTGGGCGGAATGGTTGTATCGCAGGTTTACTAGCTCATTAACGCATTACTGATTTGTAACTAAATCAGTCAGGTAACAACAAGACCATTTCAGACGGCAAACTCTTGACGGGAAACTCGCAAACTTCTCAGACTACCAGTTTACCTGATAGATAAAAAAAATACCATCGGTTGCATAAAGTAAAGACCACTATCGCTCGTAGTGTCAAACAGACGTAGGTTGAGGGTCAAACACAAGGGAACGTAAACGCTTTAGAGTTCACTCTGGTGGAAAAGCGGCGAAGCTTTCGTTGGTGGTCTGATGATGACAGGTGGCGCCGTGGTCGACTAGCGCCGGCAGCGCCACGACCGCGCGACTCTGGTAATTGCGGTGGAAGTAGCGCACCTCGGCGCCACTGATACAAAACTGGCGCTTCTGTAACATAACTACGAGGGCGCGGCCATTATCGCTGTAGTTAGAGCACCGAGCTGACGCCGAGATTTGAATTACCTCTGGACAGACAGGATGCTTTCGAACTTTAGAACCTGAAGGAGCATATGTGCTTGTTTGTATATGTATCAGGGTATATGCTTGTGCTGTATGTACTCTTATACTGCTTGTCTCAACCATTTTATGAGTGAGCCCTCGACACTAGGCGCTAAGCAGTCTCTCTTTCCCATATACGGGCCTTACTAGCGCATCCAGAGCGACGGTCTGAGCAGGCCAACGGTGACCGAATAATACATAAGGAACTACATTATTCGTTATACCAGAATGGAAGAGAATTAGATCAAGAAAGCGTGTTATGACAATCAGTAGCAATCAGTGACCGGTCTGCCCGTCAGTGCCACGGAACCCTATGATCCAGCGCTGGCACTGATTGTCCTTGCCCCGGGGTCTGTCCCAATCAGCGCTCTGATTCGGACGACCAGAAACGGTAAGGATATATCCATCACTGCAACGACCCCAAATAAGAGCCAATCTGGACACGTGGGAATTAGCGCTGATTATGAGGCCCCAGTATGGGAATATGAGCCGCGTGAAGCGTAACGCGCCACGTTCAGACGCAGCATTAGCCGGTGGTCACCGTGCCAGCAGTTTAACCCAAATAGTTTATAGAGGCAATTCGTGCGAACAGCCGGTATTTAGGTCAGAGTCGCGAGAAACGGAACACCCGCTGTTCTGATATGCAAACAAGACTTTATCGATTTTGCCTGCGGTCGTCAGACAGCATGCAGCTAAAAGATAGGTACGCTACCTACCTTTCCTTTAAAAAATGATAAAGTAAAAAATACATCGCGTGGCCAAGTGAGATGTTGATTGCATAATAATCTCAGCTGCCAGCATAAGCAAAAGAGCAGTGATCATGCCAAGAGTAAACTAATACAGAGAATCAATTGTGCCTAGCCACCTACTAGGATTAGTTGTCTCCAGGATAAATAAACCATATTTGACGCACGCGGTAGGCGAAACAAATCGATGTTCTGTAACCGGCTGTCCGGACCGCAGACATTCTCAATCGTCCACAGACGATAAAACCGATCCCATTGGCGGACACCGCTTTCTAAGTCAGCCCCACTTCCTGGCCTGAACCAGACGCGTTTCGAAGTGATGGAATGACCACATGATGACATCTGGCTTTTCATAATAACCGTTTACCGGATATTGTACAGGCTTAAAACTGAAAAAACCGTTACATAAATGCCACGAATTTTTATGGGTTGAATTATATCCTTGGCTCCGACTTTGTCAATCAAGTTATGCAATTATTGGCTTAGATTTATGAAAATAAAATGTCAAATCAAAATTGAATAATGACATACGCTTGCAAATGTGTCGTGCTGATAAAACGCGCCAACCCAAAATGGGTATGTGTTCATCACCTATTACCACATAGCATTTGCGACCGATATCAGCATGAGCGACTTCAGAGAGATTGCAGGCGTGGGGAGGCGGACAGACGGAGGGCAGGTCCGTGGTTTGGAGAGTGGGTCCTGTACATACAGTGGAGCGGCAGATGGCCTCGACGGACGGCTGCCAGGTAACCGCACCGCCGCAGACGAGCGCGCCAGCAGCCCCCGGACCCTCACTGGACCAGTGAAGGTGGACCTACTGGCAGCTGGGGCACTGACCAGCGTCGCGTGCACCAGAATCCGACTCATTGGAACGTAATTAATATTTTCTACACGAAACAAAATGTTTTCCAAGTACGTTTGAGTAGTGCAAATGCTCTATTTACACCACAAGCTCCAGCCCATGGGCTCAAAAAAAAAAAAAATACTGAACAATTAGAGACACTCAACCATCAGCACAATAAATCATAGCACGGCGACACACTTTCGATTGGAAATTGTACTGCGCTATACCGGAAAGCGTGTCTAGTTACCTGCGGCTAGCGGAGCGCTGAGGGCGTCCTCCGAATCCTGTCACTTCCACACAAAGGATGTCATCCGGCGCCGTCCGCTCGTCACCACAAACACCAGATATCGCTCGGGGGCACTGGACGCCGCACAGCGTCCCTGGCACTTCTGTCGGTCGTACCGCCCACCGCCCACCGCCGGGCGGTGTCGCCATCCGCCCCGCCCCGCCCCGCCCCGCGGCGGACAGTCAGCTGTCGCACCGCCCGCGGTGACGGAGCCGTCACCCATGGCGACTCCGGAGCCCGCGGCTGTGGGGCGGCACAGTGCCGCTCGAGCGGCCTGGACTGCGGCCACAGAAACTCACACAGCCCTGCGAGCAATGACGAATGGAGCGAGCCGGATTCAGAATGGTTGGAATGAAACCTGGGTGACGTGAAACAGCCGCCGCAGAGTCAGACAAATCCAAACAAAGTCACAGGGGTAAGGTAGTCGGAACCTGAGTCAGGACTGAGGGCACTCAGGGGTGGCCAGAGTTAGGTGTGACAAAAGTCCTACACGAGTCGAGTTAGCGGAGCAGCGGGTGCGGGAAGAGTCCCACGCGGCGCCGGGCCGGACACCGCTCACTGGAGTTCCGTTAACGGAAACGGCGCGCCACGGCGCCGCACCGCGCCATTCGCGGCCATTTGTTCTGCAGGGGAGACGGCCGATGGGAACGGGGCCGGCCTCCCGCCGGCTGCCGCCGACCGCGGCCGGTCAGCCGGCCCCGGGCGCGCGGGACCACCCGCCCAATGTGGACCAGTCAGTGGACCGAGGGGTGGACCGAAAGCCGATGTGGACCAGCCCGAGGATTACCATGTGGACCATTTGGACCGCCGTGTGGACGCCCCACGCCACCCACTCCACCAGACGTCCACGTCGTGAACGCCCAATGAACCGACGTCCAATTGTGGATTTTCCAGTGGATGGCTGTTGGGTAGCTGAATGGAATCCAAAGCTCCGCTTTCTTGCGCTCGATCTTTGTTTGATCTCAAGGTTTCCAAGAATGAAACCTCTATCTGCGTGCAAGGGAAACCGAAGCAGGGGCCGTATTCACGTCGATTATTTTCGTAAGAATTTCCTTAAGTTTGACCTACTTCCTAAGTAAATTTTTTAATTCACGTGAACTC